GAAAGATTAATCAGTTTAATCTAAAAATCAGGATAACAAATAATTCAAAATCTATTTTAATTTGTGAAATAGCTAATCTATTTTATTGACATTATTTTTTAAATTAGATTTGTTGAAAATCATGGAATGTCTTATTATATAAGATAAAGGAAAATTGGATATGTGGAATGTCGGAGGTTTGCAGCCAGACGAGATGAATCAGATTCGATGGAGCATAAAATCAGCATCACCAGCCGCATCAGCGATTGCGGCAGGCAAGAGGCAAAAGACCGATGGATGGACCAGCCGTCACGAAGCGGGCCGACGTTCCTGTACCAAACGAGATTAATAGAGATCCGCCTGTCAGCCGGACGCCTCTCCGTCTGAGCGAGATCCAGCGGCTTCCAGACGGCCAGTCTTCTCGCAGATCGCAACCTGCGTGGGCAACAACCGATCGTGATCGATCGCACGGTGCGTCCTCTCTGGACTACCGCTTTGCATGTCGTGTGCGTGCGAGTCCAAGAGTATTCCTTATACCACGAATCTTCTAGTCATCCGCGCGCGAACATACATAGAGTAATGAAATAATAATCATTGTGACAAATTAACAGGATTTCGTCCACGCGTTGATGCATTTTGTCTTTTTCGTTATAGACATCTACGTTTAGAGAATATCAGTAAACGCTATACGTATTATTTAAACGGTAAACAATCCGTGCATTCTCGATACACAAACTTGTTTTCAAATCTACATTTACGCCACGATAAATCGTATTCGACCGATTTACGTTCATCGCTATTCGTACCGATGCGAATACAAATCACGAGAAGTCGGTGGGCCGTATTCGGTGGCTTCACCTTAGTTTGCCTCGCCAATTTGCGATTAGGTAGGCATCGCATCGCACTTTTTCTTTCTCATTCATCCGCTATGTTCTTACTTCTTTTTCTCCAATTTCCGCGTCACTTCATCTATCATTTTATCTTTTGATTAACTTATATATATATATATATATATTATACTTATCGTCATGTAAGGGAATAATTACATATTGAATAATATAAAGAATAACATAATATATCGAATAAATCACGATCTTTGTTCGTTATCGTTTTTTGGGGTTGTTTTTGTTTCAGCGATCGGTGACGAAAATGAAGGCAACGAGAGTAGAACACACAGGGAAGAGGTTCGACAACACGTATGCTGTGCAAGACATGAGAGAATGATCGATGTTGGATACGGTAAGCAAATTTAAAACAAAAGATATTGGAAGACCTGAGAGAAATCAGGATATAATATATGAATAGAGATGAATGGAGTACTGGAGTACGATATATCGTTGAGAGAGAGGGAGAGAAAGAGAGAGATTCGGCCAGAAGTTGCGTAATTTTAGCAACTGGCTAAATGTAAATTATGTTCCCTCGATTCACTGTTGCCGCCCCATATTCATGAGTAGTAAATGCGGGTGGCCTTGTCGCTAGATCCGATCCGGTAAATTAATATCGGGTGTTCACAATTAATTGACGCCGATCGAGAGGATGAAGCATCCGGTGGCGGTGTTGTCGTGTGCCCGTGATCAAAAGATTTGACCGATTTATCATTGCGAGCTATCGCTTTAAAATAACGCGGGAACGATTGAATTCACGATTCAATCCCATTATTTTGTCTGTACTGTAAGGGGGGATCAATTGATCCGCCTATAGATCGGAGATAATCGACAGAACGAGTAGAATGACAATGTAGAGATTACGTTAATGCCCCTTACAAACGAATAATTAACGATTTCGTCGAACCAACTGAAGAATCTACCACCCTTCGCGATCAATTGTCAATTAAACGATCGTCGATCGATTGGTATGATGTTATATCGATGTTATATCATCGCAATATCTTTCTGATGTTATACTGATCTAGCGACAGAAATAATAATTGGAAATCTAGGCGTTTACGTTACGGTATTTCTAGTAGATCTCGTGATAATACCATTTATAGGAAGAAACGCGGAAAAATGGCAGAGACGTAGCCGAAGGTCCAGGGTAATGTGAATCACCGAGGAATCAGCGCATTCCATGTCCCACGCGTTCGCGCCAAAAATAGCACGGTTACACTATAGACGGTTCTACCCTCTTCTTATATCTTGTCAACGTTTAATGTGATACAAGTCGTAAATTTTGTACGGTGATCGCGAGCATTGCCGAGCGGCGCCATCGGATTTACACGCGTCTCATTTTTCGCGAACGAACGCCACGGCCCGCACAGTCAACAATCCAATCCATCCACAGCCCTATTGAAATTTCATTGAACCACCCCGGTCCCTTGGCTTTTATCGCTAATACTAATTCTTCTTTTCTCTCTCGATCTTTTTTTCTTTTTATTTTTATTTCCTCAGGAATATCGGGTGAAATTATCCAAATTGATGCAGGCCATTGCCGTAAATTGTGTCCGCGACACGTGTTGGACGATCCAGGAGACGCGAGTCGGCCCACCGTCCAGGTAAATCTTTTGTCATACGCTTTTATCTCTTTTAAAATTTCGATTCGAAGAGGAGCGCAAGGGAGATACCAAGATATATGGATGGATATAATCCGTGACTCATGGCCGCAGGATGTGCACCTGATGCAAGAACTTTTTGGTTATGCCCCGCCCTCGTGCATCGGGTTTACAACAAAAACTCATCGCCACTCAACAGAGTTTATCGAACCGGTCGTGAAACCGTCGAATTCCTCGACCCGGAATCTTTTAAAATTCAACATCATAGTCGCGTTTATTTTACGATTAAAAAAAAGGAAGATACAATTCCAGAACTCGCAAAATCATTTGAAAAAAAGAAAGAAAGAAAAAAAAAAAGGACACTCGAAAGTATCGAAGTACCTATAGATAACGAATGAACGTTTTCTACGTTCGAAAAACCGAGATCGGACGTCGAGGAATTCTGTCTGGTGGTCGGGCAGCGTGTCGAGGAGAAAAAAAAGCACGAAGCGAAAAGACCGAATTTGCAAATAAAAAAAAAAAAAAAGAAAAAAAAAAATTGCCGCGATATACGTTGCCACGGCAGGTTACGTATGCCAAGGGCTATACGAAGGGCGAAAAAGACGGGGACGTCATGTAGATTTATGACTCATGGGATCGACCAATCCGCCAGCTGGAATGCGGCCACGCCAGCATCGCGCGATCGTACGATCTTCGCGACTTTTACGGCGAGTGCACCCCATACCCCGTATCGAGAACTGCGTATCCTCGACGATGATCGTGTCCCTTTTATTCTTTCTTTTATACATTTAAATTTTATTACAACCAAAAATCATCGACAAATCATCCCTAGAAGGCTAGATTATTGTCCACGCGTTATTTCCACTTCGTTTCGAAAACGGTATTCGACGATACGTTGCAATTGTTCCCTCGTCTCGTTGAAAGCGACCACGTTGAAAACCTATTATTAGATAGAATTTAATTAAATACGATGTATAGACAAACGTACAACTCGCGAATAATTCAACTCCCTTCTTCACGTACCTTGGCTGTTCACTAGGGAGAAAGCTATTTTTGTTACGTGATACAATCCGATCGGTGGTTTACGATCTTGCAGCACCCACGCTGCAGGAGGGAAACAGGCCCGAGAAGTAAAAATGTTGCACGCGATATGGAGAAAGAGGAGGATGTGTTTTGCGTCCTTGGAAGGTCGTATCGTGCCGGGTCACCGCTCCGGCGCCAGGCCTTGGCCACCTACTACATCCAGGAATCGTGTTCCTGGGATCTCGAGGATGGATGTACCTGAGAATAAAATTTATTAGAAAATATTCTTAGCCAGAAATATGACCGGGGGAGGGGAGAGAGGATAAAAAGAGGAAGGAGAGAACCGTGATGCGTTTATGCACGGACAAAGATAACGGTCGGTGTTATCCCGCAGCGAGAATAATTAAATGGCCCGCGTGTCGTGAAAGAAATCGAGTGCCAAAGAAAATGTTCGAAGACGAGGGGGGAGATAACGAGGGGCGCGAATATTATAAATACACCTTCGTAGGCTATCATTGATACTTTCTTCTTTGGCAAACGATACGACGATAAATAAAATACCGTGAATTCTGTGAAGTCGCGTGCTCGCTTTGCTCGTCCAACATCTGTATCGATAAAACGTTCTTCCCTGTCTGATATATGGACGTATATTCCATAGAAGTTATCCTTCCTTACCGCCGGCAACATTTCATTCCGATTCGACTAAAAACATATTTCCACGACGAATGGAACCGATTTTTATCGCGCTTTTCGCTCTTTCAGAGATGCTTCCCGGAATCACATTGCCGTCCAAAGGCATCGAAGCTAGAGAGGGTGTCGACGATTCAAGGGGTACGCGTGATCGAAGTGACGGAAGCCTGCGAGTGCACGTCGGATTCCTCTTGTAGGCGGGAATCTTTCACGCATCTCGTGCATTCTGGCACTCCTCATCAAGCCGTGATGGATGTCGGTGTGTGCATGGGCCACTGTGCTAAAGGTATCTTATCTTCTTTTACTCGGTATCTCGTTCTCGTTGACAATCGATAATCTATCAATCTTTTGAAAGATCTTGGATGCAAACCGGTGAGGAACAGTACGGTTAGCATAAAAGGACCGAATGGTATGTGAAATGATTTACTCTTCTTTATCGATGATATCAAGGTATATCTTGATTGAAACGAATACCAATAATCGTGTTAAATTTTAGGAGACGAAGTGTATCAGGTGATCGAGAAATGTGGTTGCGCTGGGACATGCCACAAAATGGACCACATGGAGACCGTTCTAGATTTCAGCGAAGTCGAAATAAAGGACGGTACGAATACAACAGATGTGAGGCCGGTCGTTCGGGTAAAAAAATTTCCCTATCGCACAATTTCCCACTCTGATTGCATTTATAATTTATCATTGATATCCTCGTATTCGTGCAAAACAGCAAATTAACGTGGGCCAATGCGTTGGGACGTGTCCAGGAAACGAGACGGAAATGTGTCTTTTGAGAGACAAAAGAGAGCCATCGAGATGCTTGGCGGGCCTGTACTCGAAGCAGCACACTTGCACACCCGCCAGATTCAAAGTTCACGAGTACAGGTATTTGGATGTTGATCTTTGATGATGAAGATGCAATTACCCATTCATTCGTGGGATTGTTCGTTTGTTTCAGGACTCGTCGTGGATCGAAGAGGGAAATTATTCAAATTACCCAGTGTGCCTGTGTCTAAATAACGTGAAGAAGATGGAGAATTTTGGTCTTGTTCGATCCAACGGACCAATCGAACAGATTTATAGATACATTCAAGCTATTTTATTGCGCCGCGTAAACAACAAAGTACCATTTCGATGTTCCTACATGCACCGTGTATTGGTATGACAAATAAACGTACAATGACTTTTTAAAAAACATCAATTGGTTACCTAAAAAACTAGTCCACGTACTTCACCGTGTTCCATCCGATTATGCTCGTTAACCCTCATTACGCGGTTTATTAAATTATTCCTCAATTATTCACGCTAATAGAACAGAGGAAATTTTTTTCTTAAAAATTATCTCGCTAGCTAATGGAAATCGGTTCCGCTTATTTCTCTTTGCGACGATGTAAGATGATATAAACGTGTATATTTGATAAGACGAGATAAAACGATCGGCAAGTCCCTTCTCCAAATTTTTGACGCGTATTCCTTAATGAAAGACACTTGGTCGTACTGGCCAACTGGCACTAGCCAATTTTGTACATTATAACTATTCTTTGGCTCGTCCCCGTTTCGTCTTGCGCTCATGTACGAATAATGCAACAAAAAGAGCAAGGTCGAGAGCAGTGCTTGATGTTGTCGAGATCCCAGAGGCGAAAATATACGCTGACACCCTCGCTGAGATCCGTCATCGTCCTCCGGTGGGAAAACAACCGATTCGCGACTATCTAAATATCTCTGTGAGTGGCCACATGACTCGCCACTCACGAATCCACGGAATTTAGGAAGCGCGAGCTTTTTTTAATAGCCCCACGGTGCCATCATCATCTCGTTCCTCATGGGTTTCGTTCCGTCGCCCCGCGCAACGCCATCATCCTACATAATCGATCTACCTCGCCAATCTTTCTCCCCTTCCTCTTCTATCTACTTCTTTTTCTTCTTTTCTTTCTTAATCTTTGAAAAAGACGCAAAATTTTCGTGCCAAAAATACAAAAGAACTCGTTTGTTAAGAATTTCGAAAAGCAATTTTCCCGTTTTCAATTAGAAAAGAAACTCGCGCCTCGCGATCTGGATCGAGGATGAGGATCCTCGAATGGCTCAATGATGAGAAGCAAAACGGGGGAGGGGGAAGAAAAGAGGGTATCGCGTTAGCTCGAGTCGAATCGTAGTGTCGCGTCGGTGTCCCGTGAGAGAGGCCGATGTCGCTGCGGGGAGCAACGCGGGGGAGGCAACTCCCGGCATAGCATAAAGGTGACTCCTCGCAGCCAAGACCTCCCATATGCTACTTAGCGTTCCGTTCGGTTCGGCAAACCTCCTTGTCCTGTCCGCAGAGAGGGACCTCTCCGCTCCTTCCTCCGCCGAGAAGCGTTTTTCGTCGCGGGTTTCGCGCGTAGATTCGGTCCATGTTCCACGCTCCGTCATCGAGCGGATCCAAAGAGACGATCGTCGCGAGCACGTTATTTCGAGCCACCTTTCTCGCCATTCTTATCCACTCACGCGAATCGTGTGTGAGCGAGAAATGACGATGAGAGACGTCCGCTTTCTACTTTTCGCAACGCTCTTCTTTTCGTCCTCCTTCGAGGCGCACTCACACCCGAGCCGTTTCACCGAGGATGATAACGAGGGAGAACTCGTGAACTCGTGGCCGTTGGGCGAAGCTTTGAACGAGCACGACGCTCGTCGGAACGAGATTTTGGAGAAACTGCAACAGGTCCGTTTTTTTCCCAGTGCGATAGTAGACGTTTGCGGGACGTTTGTGAGAGGAAGAAGTGATATGTTCGACGAACATTAACGAGAATGAAATCGTTATTTCAGGTTCTTGGTATTCGAAGTTACCTCGGTGAGAAAACGGGACGTCGTAAGGTGCCGCCGCAATTTATGGTGGAATTGTATAACAACGTAGCGGATCCTAGCGGTGTTACGCGTGGCAAAAATCCGTACAACGCCAAAGTCGTCCGCAGCTTCATCGAAAGAGGTAAACGTACCTCGTTCACCTTACCTCGTTTTGTCCTTCCTGTTTTCCATTGAAAAATTTTCATCGAAATTAAAAAACTTTCACGCAGACACCACCACATCGCGGTTTTACTTCTTCAACATCACAGGTTTGGAAGTGAACGAATCTGTTTTGGAAGCGGAGCTTCATCTGTATCGAAAAAGAACACCTTTGAAAGCTTTGCATCCTTCCATTTTAGCTTCTCCGTATTACTTGGTAAGTATATATATATATATATATATAT